TCGAAGTCATTTTTAACCATTGATCTAAGAAAGAGGTTGTCTACATCTGTCAGTTTAGATATTTCTCAAGGAGTTTGGTGCATGGATGCAAACCGCCAAAATCTGTTCACCAGCAGTCCTGGGTATGACGATAAACTTTGAGGAGCGCGGAACAACTTTTTTTATTGCTATTATTCTCAGGTCTACCCTAACCTAGGGTGGCAGTATCTGTTAGGTTCCCAACTATGGGCAAATAGTTAACCCCCAAAATGGGGTCAAAACATTATGAAATTACTAATACTACCAAGAAAATTAAACGCTTATTGACATAGCAGTACCATCTGAGAATCTATGAAAATTATCGAGAAATTGTCCAAATACAAGGACCTGGAGATCGAGATTAACAGGATTTGGCAAATGAAGACAGAGTGTACTAATAGTAATCTGAGTTCTGGGCCTCGTGAGAAAAGGATTGGACAATTTTACTAACAGTGTCACAGGTAACATCAGCATACAACTTGCCCAGAAGATCGCCCTACTAGGAACATACCATAGACTAAGAAATGTACCATCAATTAAATGACAATTCTCCTATAGGGCCTAAGGATCGTAGTTTGGACCTGGCTCTACAGGATACAAAGTAGGAAACATAATATACACAAACAATAATAATAATAATAAAAATTGTACTCACAAGTACAGCCCACACACCTAACGAAAGGCTTTATCTATGTAAAATATGTGATTTTTTTTCAAAACTGCTCAGTGAAAAATGGCATGATGCCATTTTTGACCTTCGGTCTCTAGTCGGTACCCGTGAAGTTATGAGTATACACCAGAAACCAATTGAATAATAATAATAATAATAATAATAATAATAATAATAATGATAATAATAATAATATCATCATCAGTGGTTACGTAGTGCAGAGTTAACAGCTGAAAGCGAACGTTTTATTCTTGCTGCACGGGACCAATGCTTGCTAATTAGAAATTGTCAAGCACACATAGTGAAAAATTGTGTTAACCAGAAATGCAGATCCTGTGATAAATATCTAGAAACAATTAATCATCTTGTATCAGGTTTCACGGTGTTAGCACCAACAACTGAATATAAAACTCGGTTTTGATAGACTGGGCCAACATATGCACTGGAAAATATGCAACTTTTACGGGAAGGAAACTGACCAAACTGATATAAACATCAGCTAGACCCGGTTACAGAGATCGAACCTGTAACAATTTTATAGGATTATACATACAGACAGAACAATGAAAGCTAGTCCCCCAGACATCGTGATCAGAGACCACAAAAATAGAATGTGCTTTCTTATACAAGGATATTGAAATAGAAATCTTTAAAATGTGGCACATGAGGACATTAATAGTTTCAGTTGGAGTTGGAGAACTCGGATTGATTAGAAAAGATTCCAATAGACTCTTGAAGGTAACCTAAGCCTTAAAGAAATACTAATGATTTTAATCACAAGTAAAACTCACACATTGCGAAGAGATTTATCTATGTAAATGTGTGTGATTTGAGTTTTATTTTTTTAATTTTTTTTTTTTGATAAAAAAAAAATGAGAAATGATAAAAATAAATGATCAACGGAAAATGTCATGAAGCCATTTCTAACCTTAAATCTCTGACTGGGTCCCGGAAGAAAACCTTTATACAACAGAAATCCAAGGAAATAATAATAATAATAATAATAATAATAATAATAACAACAACAACTACTACTAGTAAAAAAGAATATTAAAGTAGACATGACAAGCAATACCTGGTTAACCGAGAAGCAAAAGTAGCAAATGCTAATGGTCCCCCTATTTTCGAGTGTCTGGTGAAATCAGAGGTACTAGTAATGGATAGCCATTGAGGAATCGGATTTCGAATTCTAGTCGAATCCATTACATTCTTATGGAAAGGTTGGGAAAGGTGTGAATCCTCTTCTTCTTCCCTAGCTATGGGTAAATAGCAGGACAGGTTCTATAGCCTTGGATAGTAACTGGTCTACCGCAGAAAGAAATGGCAACCTACTGCGGGAAAAATCATACATTATCGCCTAAGCATATATCACGCATGGTACATAACTGATTGATTGATGAAATCTGCATCTTAATATCTGGCAATGTTTATGTTTACATATCTTGTATTAGTATATCAAGCACGTTAAATCAAATATCTACTCAAAATATCGAACTAAAATCATAATTTTCTGGTTTTCATGATTTATTGTATTGGTAGAAATGAAATATTTACTTGTTTTATAAGCTCTCTCACTATGTTATTGAACAATTCATTATTTATTTTTTTTTAAAATGAGAGCCCTTTTATAATATATGCTTGCTTCATTCGGAACTGATGACAGTAATTCACTGAGAATTGTGCAAGTGACCTTGGTTTATTCATGTAAGCAAAGGCTACAAGCGCAAATCAGAAGCTGTCTTTGAAAATAGTCTGGGACTTTGAGACCATCCAATCTAAGCTCAGAGAACAAATTTGCAAAATTGTTCGCAAAATGTCTGTATGTTAACCCTATAGACTTCCCTGTGATAGTGCCGGATTCAACATTGAAGCAACATTGGCAATACTATAGTCCCCAAATTTTTAAGGGCACCATATGAAACATTTCAAGCTGTTTGGTGAAATTGGCATCTTACAATCTGGAAATGTTAATGTTTACATATTGAGGGAGATGTATCTTAAATTACGAGAATCTGTCTTTGAAAATAGTCTGAAACTTTAAGACCAACACATCTAAGTTAGAAGAACTTATTTGATCGTTATAGAAAAAAGGGTGGGGCGTCTGCCAAAACGTAAAATGGTAATGGTAATTGTTGCTGTGTCCTCTCTCTAAAGAGTCTATGTTAGACTCTTCCGCCTACTATAAGTTTACTAGGAGAGAAGGAACGGTGTACAGTGAATGAACTAACGCTCAGTCCATATACTGTTCACTGTTCCTTTTCTTCTATTAAACTTATAGTAGGTGGAAGAGTCTAACATAGACTCTTTAGAGAGAGGACACCACAACAGTAATTGTAGTAATAACCATTGCCCTACAAGGAAACATTTGGCATTCATTGACCGATCAGCCAATACCGCTTTCGGTTAAAATTTATAAAATCTTTCTCTCTAAATAATTTTTCAAGAAGACAGGTTTTTCAAGTCCAGTAGCTGTTATTGCTCTTTCGAGTATTGATTGGAGTTTTCTTCCTAACCTTTTATTTGAAGTAGTGTGGAATGTCAACATCTTCATTATGCCATTATTTACTCTCCAAATTACATGTCCTATTCATTTTAGTTGTTGCTGCTGTTGGTATTCCTCATGTAATGTGGTTTCTCTCATTTGGTACAGTTCTTTGTGTTTCTGTAGCATCAGTCTACAATGTTCAAAGTAGGATGATCCCTGCAAAGACCTTCAGTCTTTACTCGCTCAAAGCCTTTTTCACTATTGATCTTTGGAAGCGGTTGTGTACAGCTGACAGTTTAGATATTTCTGAACAGGTCTAGCGTCATGTAGTACATCCATATGAAAATCTCAATCTGACGAGGCTATTTAAGAACATGACTCCGGTTGATGTTTTAAATAATCTAACTTAAAAAGCGGTATTAAAGAAAAAATAGACTTGCTTGAGAACTGAAGAAACTGTGTAATGGTGTCTGGTGTATATATTTATTCGGTCTTGCCCCCAAGACAGGATGTGACACAAGGTCACTTTTACATGGGGAACCCATGCACATACGTATGCATATGGGCCAAGTCCCCGCGACCAATGTTATACTAACCCTACCTCTCTTAGTCTACATGAGGAAGGTGTTATCGCAGGGTTGAAATCCACGGGAACGGACACCTTCTACGATTTAATATAAGAACAACTTGACTTATGGCTATAAGCGAAATCCTGCAGCAAGGAATTGGTGTACGAGGGTACTCTAATGGAATGTGACCAAATGGGGGTTATTATCAACATAGCCTCCACCCTTGTGGTACTCACACTTCTTGCTTCGATGCTGCACCCCATTGGTGAAGAACCTTTCATTTTGTTGGTCAAAAAGTCAGAAAATATGACACCTGGTTTCCAGCAAAGTGTTTTTTCATGTTGGGGAACAGATGATAGCCAGATGAGGGATAATAGAGAGTGTGATCAACCTGTTCAAAGCCATAGTGATGCACAGCAGCCAGGACTTATGTGATGGAGAATTGTGCTGGTGAAACAATACCCCTTTCGTCAGCTTTCTTGGGGGTTTGGTCTTGATAGCCCTTCGTAAGTAACTCAGCAAGTTGGCATAGTACTCTTCATTAATAGTGTGGCCCTTTTGAAGATGGCCATTAAACACAATGACTTTTACATCTCAAAAACTGAGGCCGTCACCTTCCCTGTATATGAAACGACCTTGGCCTTCTTTGGTGCAGGTGAGGGTTGTTTCTTTGTCTCTGGCTCAAAGTGATGAACCCAACACTCATCCTGGGGTAGGAAACGTTCAAGGAAACCAGCTGCGTCAAACAGTGTCAGTTTTTCCCATGATGTGATCAGCCTGTGCACTTTTGATCGTGAGAAGTTCATTGTGCAGATTATTCTCGACACTTTCACGGAAAATGCTAATAGCATTGGCTATTTGAGTAATAGTCAATCGCCTGTCATCATCATCATGTCAACACGATCAATATTTTCCTCGGTGGTGGGAGTTGCAGGACTTCTCCCTTCTCATCCTAGATTCAGCTGCTCACGTTTGCACTGTTGATAAAGTTATCGCGTCATCTCATAATGTCAATGCGAATGTCGTTGGGAGCTAAACCTTTTTTCCGCGCGTACCTGATAATACGACGATGCCAAATTGGGTCCATTTTCAGAAGTGACTACTAATTACATCTGAAGTATTTCCAGGACAGTCAGACATCAGTTTACCCGGTTATTAATAAGATGAGTTGAAATTAATGCATGCAAGATATCACAGCACTAACACCAATCCTTTATACTCAGCCTACTAACTTTTCACCACATTCTCGTAACTGCAAATGGCTGCATCTAAAACAATATGGCAGCCATCAAAATATGTCTATCTTGTTAGGAATACTGTTGCCCACCTCGAAGTAAAATGGCTTCTGAATACTCTCGAGTCTTGAATAAAAGTAGGTTGGTTAAGCAATAGGTAAATTTTCTAAAAATGTCATAAGCGTTAGGTGGGATTTTCCCATCATGAAAAAAAACCCACTCAGCTGGTAACCAGTGTCGCGTTAAGGATAACGTCATATCTGCTGTTGACTTTTTTTTAGCGAACTGGATGAACATTCTTTTCTGAACAGTCAGATGTCAGTTTACCTGGAAAGAAACAATGCAGTTATTAATAAGAAAATGAACGTTTAAGACCACACTCGTAATTGCAAATGGCTGCTTCCAAAACAATATGGCAGCCACCAAAATATGGCATTGTTGTTAGGATAACTGTAACTAAAATGACATCTGTATTAGTGCATGCAAAATTTTCCAGCTTAATCATCGCTCCTTCATAGGCTGCCGTAATTGAAACTGAGAATTTATCAAAAGACCCTAAGGGAAAGACTGCAAAAATGTAAATTCGAATAAGAGATGCTGCCATACCCCCTGCGATAATAATGGACTATTCCATCCTACCCATTTCAATACTAGCCACTTTATATAAAATCCGTCTAATTACTAATAATTTAGCTTAGTTGAATAAAGCTTCTAAATTTGAGATTTGGTATTGTCTATCTATTACAGCACCATCCATAGTAGTGTCTGTGTCAATTAGAGGCTTGAAAATTTATAATCGATCCTCAGTGTAAAGATTGCAAATGGCAGCTAAAATAATGATGATATTTCGCTCACCCCGAAGATGAAGAATTCATTTTATTTGAATTACTATTTATTTTAATGTCCTTGTTCCAAGTTTGTTTTGACAGCCAATAATAAATAAACTGTAGAGAGAGAAATACTGGCTTTGACCCCTAGCCAGCTTTACCCCTATCGTTACCATAGCAACCACTCCATCACAGCCGCTGTTCTGAGCGTTTCCCCAACTTGAATAATCATCTCGAATCATACCCTCCTCCACCCTTTGCATTGGCTTAGAGAGTGTTTCCTTCTTCCTCCCCGTTTACTAAGCAAAGTCAACTCGTTGCCTTGTCAAAATCAGCGCCCCATACTAATTCACTGCTTACACATTCAAGGTCGGAGTTCAAAATGCCCCAACCTCTCCGCACCCACACTTACCAAAACTCTATACCTATTCTTCATGTTCTGCTCCCCAGTTTTTTTTTTTTTTTGTTGTTGTTATATAGTTGTGTCTCATTTCTCCTGGGTAACCCTTCACCTACCCTGATCCTTCAATACCAGCAGAGCCGTCGTCTCCACCACTGATATAATTGACGTCTGCTGCCACTAGTCGGCGCTGTTAGCCCTTTTCAAGGAACACGTGTGCTCTCCCCTTGTTTGTTGGTTTGCATATATTGGTGACTCTCTCTACCAATTCAATTCTTCCAGCGCAGCCTTCACTCTTCTCTCGTTACGCCAGCATATCTTCTTTCTTTCTTTCTTTCTTTCTTTCTTTCTTTCTTTCGTATTTTTCTTTCCCTCTTTCTCTTTCTCTTTTCCTTCTCTTCTTTCTATCTCTTTTTTTTCACAAATTTCTTTTCCTTCTTTTTACCTTTTTCTTTTACCACTTTTCTTATTTCATCATTCTCACCTTCTTCCAGGTTTCTGTTTCATTCACGTTTTTTTTGATCTCTCTTCTTTTCGTCTTCTCTCTTTCTACTTTCCTTCTTTTCTATTTTTCTTTTTTTTAATTCTTTATTTACTTCGGTTTTCGCCGACTTTTTGTTTTTCCCCCTTTCTTTTTCTTTCATTTCTTTCTACCTCTTCTTCACGAAAGAGAATGTGACAAAAGAAATGAAAGATGAGAAACCTGTCTAATTATGAGAGAAACGGTAGCTTAATGCTCAAGGCTTCATTCATGACAGACGGGTTCCCGATATCTGGGACTTCATCTGAAGTCATGTCTTTTTCGAAATTTTGTAGTTTAACAGCCAAATAAGAACAGAAGAGTTAGAAATTTTACGAAAAATAGCAACAAAAATATGAAGACTCTCTTAAAATCGAAGTATAAAACATAATGAAAACTAGAAAGACCCGTGAATATTTCACGGTTTTCCTATTTTCATTTTCTAATGAATTTTAATTCTTCTGTTAATGATTGAGTGAGTCCATGGCGAGTTCTCTGGCAATAAAATATCCGTAGAAATTCCCGTTTCACATCGTTAAAAATTGAAATATTTGATCTTAACAACTTTAACAAAATATTGCAACAACAATCATACATATGAATGCTGGTCATTATTATTTAAGTGAGGAGAAATGAAAAGATTTGAAATTCACAACTTTTTCCATTTCATTGAAACAGACGTTAAACATTTCTTTATTTCTTTATTTCTTTCTTTCTTTATTTATTTATTTATTTATTTACTTATTTATTTATTTATTTTTCTCACTGAAATCAAGTAGTCTCTTCCTCTCTTTCCATGCAATCAAAACGGATGTATTAGCAGACGTTAAACACTTCTTTCTTTCTTTCTTTCTTTCTTTCTTTCTTTCTTTCTTTCTTTCTTTCTTTCTTTCTCTTGTGCTTTTCATCCATTCTCTTTCTTTCTTTATCCGCGTCATACGGACATTTCTCTTAATAATAATTTAATAATTCAGCAGACGATGTTATTTTATTTATGGTAACTGTTTCTTTTTTGCCTTATTAAGTTTCAATTGTTCAATATTGTGAATCTGAAAAATGACCTTTTTATCGCGCTCACCATCGATTCTTGACCTTTTGACTTGGGGAGGTTCAAATAATTTTAAGCCCAAGCCCCAGGGGTCCTTCTTCTCAGACAGTACCCCTCCTTTGAGTGGGGTCTGTATTTATCACTCGCATGAAGCGTCCTCAAAAGAGTAAGTATTGAGGGGTCTTGAACAATTTTTCCACGGTATTGCCTTGTGTCACATTCGGAAAAATACTTCTTGGCCTTTTGACTGAGATCAAAGTGTTGTATCCGTTTTTATCAGCTTAATCTGATTCCCTCTCTATCCACTTTGATCTTTCTTTCATTTTTCTCACCGAAACCAAGTAATGTCGTTTCCCCTCTTTCCACGTGATCAAAACGCAGAATAGTACATTATTTACGAGATATTAGCAGGACGCAACGGTCGGGCTAACGAAAGCACTATTAATAGGATATTTAATTTTGGAACCTTAAAAAAAAAAATTAAATTTACAAAACCATAATCTATAAATATTTGCGCTTGTGCGAATCATATATTTTTGAATTACGTGAAACGGCTTCTTTTTTTTTTTTTCGAGTTTCGAGGCTCTAATCATCGTACCGCCAACGGCTATTGATTTTTGAAAAAATTCCACCCCGTTCTTATTCCAACCCTAATGTCGCTTATTTAATTTTGCATAATCTTCCTAAGAAAAAATTAATTCTAAGGAAATGATGAATTAGAATGACGAAACTGATTCTAAAATTTCATTATAATTTATTCAATTCTGAAAATTTTTCAAATCATATGAAAGCATAGCTGGTCTTTCGACATGGTGTAAACATTGTAGAACAATTCCAACTGAGTACTGAGCCCGATCCTCACTGGGAGCTGCACACTTTTGACCTTGTGCCAGTTCTAAGCTACATTTAGAAAATCGTTTTGGGAAATTCGACGTGGTGTAAGGGTTAGATCGTTTGTCTTGCAAGACCAATAATGACTGAGTAGTGAGTTCGATTCTCCCTGGGTGCTCCGTACTTTCGGCCTTGTGTCACATCTAAGCTACAATGAGAAAATCATCATAGTGTTTTAATCTTGTAATGGGACGTCTTTCTTTCTTCATTGTTTTAAAAGTAGTTTAAAATATATGATCGAGAAAAGAACATCTAGAGTGTTTGACGGCTGTGAAACTTCGACATTATAATTGTTTTTTCGTAATAATTTCATGGCTATATACAATAACATATAACATCCCGTAAAGAAAAAAAATAGCAAATGAACGTCATTAGAAACATGCCTTATAAGGTTTAGTAATCTTTCATTTTTTAATATTAATGTTCAGCCAATACTAGGCTCAAGAGCAACTCAAAGTAGAGGTTTACTGTGTGGTGTTATAAGAGAGGGCAATAAGTGAAGTTAATGGGGCTATGCTGAAATGATAACAATTAGTAGACTTGAAGAGGTCAAGATTGCAGTGATTAGGAAAACGTCCTGCCGGGAGTTTGTTCCGCAAGATAACAGGAAAAAATCCCAGTCGATAAAATCCCAACGACCAAAATCCCACGTTGACAAAATCCCAGCCTCTTATCCCAAAACTGGACACAATTATCTTTCCCAAGAAATCATGGCAACTTGCAGATATTAAAAAAGTGGGGGAGATATCTATGGAAAGTTATAATCGCTTACTTCCTGAATGAACATAACATTTTTTAAATCTCATTCTGCCTGTGTAACGTCTCTTAAACTGGAGAGTATATTTGTCTGTATTATCGATTGTTTAAACGATTTTTATATTTTATAATCACCTGGTGATTTGGTCCTTAAACGAATGAATGCTCCCCCCCACTGCAATTACACGACTGGATGAAAAATATTACTAACAATATATGTATATGTTATCTTAATATAACATATGATAACAGGAAAATGGCCTTTATACCTAATCTTATTAATTAATCTTATATGAATTTGAGATTTTGTCCACTTTTGGTACGTGAGGCTAGGATTTTGTTCACTGGGTTTTTGTCCATTACGATTTTGTCATGGATTCGTTCAACAAAGCAACAGTTCTTGGGAAGAAGCTGTCCGAATGGAACTTACTCCTTACTAATGGAATACGAAGAGAATTGAGATGATTCGCTCTTGTCTATGTGGTATGGCGTGTCCCAGTTGTAAAGGTCAGGGTTGGTACGACTATGGAATTAAGTTCGTTAGAACATATGCCATAGAAATAGTGATAGAGCAGCGAGAGGCTCGCAACGTTTCGTCTGTAGGAAAGGGATTATAGGGTGGAAAATAATTCATCACCCACAAGATGTGATAGACTATTTTGAACTCTATCAAAACAGGAAAGTTAGAACTAGGCAGCCCCAGTTCAGATATGGCAGCAATACTCGATTTTTGGTTTGATCTGGCTCTTGTAAAAATAGAGGAATCAGGTGCCTACTGGAGCGGTACTGATCATTTCCCCAGCATCTTTAGCAAAAGATCGGATATATGAGTATCACTTTACATTCTAGACTAATCCTACGACAACCCCTGATTAATCCGACCCACCTGCATATTAGATTTTAAAAATAAAATTACCCACAGCTTATTCGAGCCCCACTTTTATTCAAGACTGTAGAGGCTAGATATTTACTCAGGCCCGTCGCCGGAGTTGGGAAGTGGGAGTGAGGTCAGAGTCGCCGGGAGCAAGCAATTGCACACTAAAATTCTCACGTGGATTTTCTTTGGGGTGGGCAGGTACACCCAGAGACTCAGCCTCGGAGAGCAGTCTCTGTTTATTAGGGAGTCCCTTTTAGGGTACAATGTCAAGAATGCGAGTTACCAAACGAAAACTGAACTCATTACAATCGTCTGCGAGATCAGAACTGAGTCGGTTATTGTTAGCTCTGTTTCCATAGCCAGGCTGTGGCGGTACGGTGGGGTAACCGGAGAGCCGGGTTTGAATTCCACTCGAATCCATTACATTCACTTACATGCTAATACCCTAGGGAAAGGCATGAATCCTCTTTTTCTACCCCCCAGCTATGGGTAAATAGCAGGACAGACCGGGTTCTATAGCCCTGGATGGCAATTGGTCTACCGCAGAAAGAAATGGCAACCTACTGCAGGAAAAAATTTTCCTCGTCAGTCATGTATCGAAAGATACATGATCGCCTAAGCGTGTATCACGTATGGCATATAAATGAACTAGCCAGGCTAGGGATTGAACCCGTTTTGTTTTGCTTTCCATCAGGATGTTAACATTCCGGTCGGTAACTCATTGCAACTTCACTCCTGTCTTCCAATCTGTTGTTATCTGAAATGGCTTGTTAATTTTAACGCCCCCAAAAGGAAACTGTTTTAATTATCTCAGAGAACCGTTATTGTTTTCCATCAGTATGGCAGATGCTAAACTCTAGGAGATTCATTTCATCTTCCCAGGCTAATGTTTTCCACTGACATGAAGTGGAAGGATTATTGAATCAATTGTCAGGTTTGCTGCTCGGAAAGTTAGTTCACTGTGTCATGCTAGAAAATTTTGTCACTAGAATTTATCTTACACATTTATAAGTCTACCATTCCTACATGAATTGAATATTGCTGTCACATCTAGTCTTGTGCTTCTGCTATGTATTTAGAGATTCTCGCTGAAAGATGAACCTGCATTGTTATTGGCCCTAACCTGGCATCTCAGCTTCAGTCATTTTCCTACTGATGTAATGTAACTGACCTGTACTACTTTTCTAGAAATATTTTCATGATAATTGTTCTGATGAGCTTTTCTTTTATGGTAGAGTTTTCCAAACTTTTTCAGACGCGGAACCGTTTTAGGTTCAGAAATTTGGTGGCGGTGGTGGTGGTGGTGGGGGGGGTGAACCCTAGATACTAATACTTTTATATGATCATAATAGAAATAGTTTCATATACTTTTATAAATAATAAGTATGTTCAAAAAGCAATTAAAAATAATATATACTGATATATTTTTTTAATAAAAATGTATTTTTTTTAAATTTTCATATTCCCACACGCAACATGTTGAACAGAATTACAATGTTAATATAAAAATTTTTTCATCAGAATTTTTTTGAATATTCAATCAGAACAATGCTTCCGTTTCATATTGTTGCATAATTTTTTAATGTTTGGCTTTATACTCGAGAGTTTGATTCTCAAGCCAACAGCAGAATTACGTCTCCTTCGGTATTTAGATTTCATGGCAGTGTAATAGGAAAATCCACTTTCACATAAGTATTATGTTTTTAATATACACACGAAAGTTACACCAACGAGAGTCAATTAATAGCCAGAGGTTTTTCCAATATGGCGAGAAAATTAACTTTTAGATTTATGTGGCGTCATAGTACACAGATCATATTACAATCAATAACTACTTTTCAATTCAGTAGTAGCATGATACAGTTATTATGCACTGATATGCAATATAGAAAAGTATCACATGATACAGTGTAACCCGGATATAAGAGAGTTGTCGGGACCGGAGAAGAAGTCTCTTATATCAGGGTTTCTCTTATATCCGGGTTTGGTCTATTATATATACATTAACACAGGCTCTAATTTGGGACCAGAGAAAATCTCTCTTATATCCGGGTTTCTCTTATATCCGGGTTACACTGTAGATGAATCTAAATCTGTTGGCAGCTATTTTTTTAGAAATTATTTACAAGTCGTGGTAATGTAATTTGGGAACCGTTAGTCTGTGGTAACTAGATTTTATGAATAATTGCAGTACTAGGTTGGCAACAAGTCTGATCATCTTATAGTTGAAATGGCTAAATGAAATGTAAGTTCTATGCTAACAGTTTTTTTTTTGTTGTTACAATTCTCAATTGTGCAACTCTATTCTGGCTTTTTTCTTTCCAGTCAAATTTGATCTTTGAAAATTTAAATGCAATGTCGGAACTGTATATGAAAGACAAGATCTGGTGGCTTCCGTGTGTTTCGGCCCTGAAACAACGTCATAGCTGATCTTAGAACGTCTTTATTAGATAAGCAGCGACCGCAGCCCCCACTGTTGATACCGTGTATATCTTATCATAACAATGTCGGTGTCTCGCCACTTCTTCCAGACATCACGTGATCTCGCAGCGCCCGCGAAAACAAATAGCGTCGTTACTGTTATCAGTATCCATCTCGCGCGGATTGCTTTGAACCAATGAGATCAGAGCAAAGTAAACGGTCAAAGCAAGTGGAAGGTGACACTCTGACATTGTTTCGGTTCTGCTTCATGCCAGCCAATCGAAGTGCGATGACGAAAAACTTCCTCTTAATTAGAGGCGTTTAAAGCAGGAAATAAGAAGCTAAACATGGTGAATGTAAGAGTTAAAAAATTTCCCACCGCCGTAACGTAGAGATTCTTGATAAAATCCAAAGAAGAATCTGCAATGTTATTGATCCTGAACTGGCATCTCGCCTTCAGTCACTTTCCCACCGCGGTAATATAGCTTCTCTGTACCTTTTCTATAAATATTTTCATGATAATTGTTCTGATGAACCTAGACTTTATGAATTTAAACGCAGTACTAGATTGGCCGCAAGGTCTCATCATTTTACAGTTGAAAGTATTTCGCTCTTCCGGTTTCTTGCTTTCCAGTCAACTTTGATCTTCAAAAATTTAAATGTCAATCGTTATATTCTGGCTTCTTATTTCCTGTTTTTTGATTGTTCTCTCTCTGTAATAATGTTTTTTTTTTCCTCATAATCTCTCACACTCAGTAAACCATTGCGTCTTAGTGGCTTTATTGCCTTGCTTTGGATGAAATGACAAAAAAAAAAAAGACAGAACGTCTTCCGCTTCCAAGCGTGTTTTTATCTGTCTACAAATATCTATCTATCTATCTATCTATCTATCTATCTATCTATCTATCTATCTATCTATCTATCTAGAAACGTGTATTTAGCTATATCTCTCAGTATTTTCTATCTGAAATTTTTGAAATGAGGGAAAAAAACAATAAAGGAACAGGATTTAAGGAGGACACAATATGGCGATTGACGTTGCATTTAAATTTCTGGAGATTTAGGTAGTAGAGAAGGAAGAAATCGGAAGGGAGTTCTACAGGCGAGAAGTGCGAGAAAAGAAACTATTATGATAGAACTGACGGTTGCATCTAGCTAATTTCTCAGTAAAGCGGTGAGACCTAGTTGCCAATCTAGTACTGCGCTTAAATTCCTGCAGTCGAGGCACTAAGTACAACATTTCATCAGAACAACTGACATGAAAATATATTTTCCTCATTTTTTCTGTTATTATCCCAACGTTTCAGCCGTTGTACCTTCCCTTTTAGCCTTCATCAGGTGTTTGTCAATCTGGTAATTTAATGTTAAGATAATTTCGAACTAAAACCTTATTTTAATATACTGGAGTAGATTGTTCTTGATCCGTTGTTCCTGTTTATTCTTTTAGTGACAAATTTAACATTGAAAATTCAAGGAACTTTTAATGTGAAATTGAAACAATAAAAAAAATGTTTTTTTCGATTTTAGGCTTATTCTGGACACGAACAAACTGATAAAAACCTGTATTTAAGACAATAATTCGGCGTAATCTATCTTCCTTTACTATCTACGTTGTTTGTTTACGTTTTGTCGTAAACCTTAGAAAAACTTTTTTTTATGGATTTCTTCAACTAATATCGGCCCTTATGGGATACTATGACTCCGTAACCATGGAATATATCGAATATAGAACTGTAGCATTGTTAAAAACTTTTTTTAGAGGTTGGATCGATTTACAATGAATTTCTATAGCAAGCAGAACAATAAACATGTTCAGTAAAATGCAGAAATCGATGTCGCTTGTACATGTAGGTGTATATATCGGATATTATTATTATTTTTATTTTCTTTGATTTCTGGCGTTTACACATTTCTTTCCGGGTCCCGCCCAGGGACCTAAGGTTAGAAATGGCGTCATGACACTTTCCACTGACAAAATAAAAAAAAAAAAATTACATAGATAAAGCCCTTCGTAAGGTGTGGGCTGTACTTGTCAGAACAATTTTTTGTATCTCCTTGAGGCATGGACTTCCAGGAATCCCTTCAATTAATCTACTGCAATCTTTTCCAACCAGTCCTAGGGCTCCAACTACAACAGGGATTGTTGATGTTCCCATATGCCAAATTTTCGAGATTTCTATTTCAAGGTCCTTGTAATTTGACAACTTTTTGAATATCTTCAAAGATACATTGCAGTCAGCAGGGACTGCCATATCAATAAGAAGGCACCGTTTTTGTTTGGGGTCTTTGATAACAATATCTGGCCGATTGGCCTTGATTGTTCTGTCAGTGTGTATTGTGTAGTCCCATAGAATTGTAGCAGGTCCTATCTCCGTAACCGGGTCTGGGTGGTGTTCATTATTATTATTATTATTATTATTATTATTATTATTATTATTATTATTATTCCCTTTGATTTCAGGTGTATACTCTTTTTTCCTGGTCCCAACCAGAGACTTAAGTTCAGAAATAGCATCATGAAATTATCTACTGATCATTTTTTTAACACCTCCACGCAAGATCAAGGACTCATTTTTTTATAGATAAATCCTTTCGTAAAGCGTGAGCAGTACTTATGGGTACAATAATAATAATAATAATAATAATATTAATAATAATAGTAATAATTATTATTATTATTATTTCCTTTGATTTATGACGTGTAATCATTTCTTTCCGGGTTCCGCCCAGAGGCCTAAGATCAGAAATGACATCATGACATTTTCCACTGGGCAATTAAAAACACGCGTACACACATATTTTACATAGATAAAGACCTTCGTAAGGCGTGGGCTGTACTCGTGAGAACATTTTTTTTTTGTATTTCTTTAAGGCATGGGCTACCAGGAATCCCTTCATTGAATCTATTGGAATCTTTTCCAATCAATCCGAGGGCTGCAACAGGGATTGTTGATGTTCTCATGTGCCACGTGTTTGAGATTTCGATTTCAAGGTCCTTGTATTTTGATAGCTTTTTGAAGATCTTCAAAGATACATTGCAATCTGCAGGGACTACCATATCAATAAGGAGGCACTTTTTTGTTTGTAGTCTCTAATAACAATGTCAGGACGATTAGTTTTAATTGTTCTGTCTGTGTGTATTGTGTAGTCCTATAAAATTGTTAGAGGTCCTATCTCCGTAACCGGGTCTGGGTGATGTTCCTACCAATTTCTTTCAGGTTCCTTTCCGTAGAAGTTGCAGATTTTCCATTGTAGATATTGACCCACTCAGTCATGCAGTGTTTTATATTCAGTGGGTGCCAATACTGTGTAACCTGATACAAGATGATCAATTTCTGGATTTGGGGCAAACACAACTTTTTAGTTAGGGCGATTAGTTTTGAATATTAGTTTTGATTATTATTGTTATTATTATTATTATTATCATTGTCTCAATTTAACAACAAAATTTCTTGAATTTTCAAAGTTAAATTTGTTTCCTTTCAGATATAGGGCTTTTACTTATGAGACTCGGATTTTGTCCACTTTTGCGATAAGAGGCTGTATTTTTTTTTTTTTTTTTTTGTCTGCTGGGTTTGTATCCTGGTTTAATCGGTACTATCCATTTCAAGGATTGAACTTGAAGAACGAGAGAGACATTCGCTTGTCCCAACACCAATTCTTCGTTTGTGAACATTTTTGCATATTACTGTTAATTTGCCTTGCATATATTGTTTGCTTGCTTTAATATTTTTGCCTTGTTCTTCTCTTCTGTTTATTGCAAATTTTGTCAATTCTTTTTATTGGAGAGTTCTGTTACTTATTTTGCATATGACCATGAAATCCGAAATCTATATGACTCTTTAAATTTTAATATTTACTGTTATTTATATACATATTGAATATTTCAAAATATATTTATAATTAACATTTAAAATTATACTTATCTTCTCGTCTTCAAGTTTCGCAGATAAAATCCACTCATGAGTGGGTTAGATAGTTTAACTGAATTTATTAGCAGATGACATATATTCGTTAATAAATTCAAATGCTTCTTTGGAGTTCTGTGTCACATTATACGTCGTTTGTTGTAAAATAGAATAGGAAGCCGATGCTTGCTGAAATATTTATTGTACATCTGGACCACCCCCAAATTCCATTCAGGGTTTCCTTATTGTCTGCAGTACTCTAATGTAGGCGGTAAAGTTGACCTTGAAGAGATGGTGTTTGTTGCTCACGACTCCCGGGACCAGCACAGACGATATGAAATTTATTTAAATCTCCGAGGTCATTCTTGTTAACATCCTGGTCCTGGATAAGAACCAGTGAATGTGTGGATCCTCTGGATGTTTGAGCTTGATCCCTAATCGATCGATCGGTACAGACGCTTCTTCCAGGTCTTGTCGGACATGAATTGCCACTCCGCTATCATATAGGACTTACACAGGGGTCCTGATGGTGGACCACGCCATCTTTAGCTGCTAGGCGATGGCCTTTGTCAACTTGCTAGATTGATGATGTTCTGAGGCTTGTAACCGAACGTGAACATTCTTATGACGTCTGATTGCTTAGAATATTTCTGTCTCTTGAACGTGGATGACATGTCACAAATAAAAGCCTCGTCGTTCATGTCCTTGAACACGAAAGATGAGGTCATCTTAAAAAAAAAAAAAACTGATTACCTCAGATTGGTTGGCAGCTGGTACACACGAACGGCATATCTTTTCATTTCTTATCTCAAATTAGAGGTTTCCATGTTAATGATCTCGACAGGGCTTAGAGAGAAATGATTGGTTGATTGATTTGTTTATTTTACGACTTATCAACGTTTTGTAGGCTATTTAAAGCCGAGTCATATTTCGGAGTGTACAAGGTTGCTTACAGTACCTAACTAAATGGTACCCCCATCTAAGTACTGACCAGGCTTTAACAGGAACCAATGATAGAGTGTTTTGATAAAGAGAAATGATACGGTTAAACATTTGTTGCAAGCCGCAGAATATTATATGGCAGGTTGTCTTTCATTTATGACCCACACCATGTGTGTTCTCAAATATATGGCGCATTCTATATGCACACACATAAAAGTAAAAATTGTAAAAACAGTAGAAAAACTTATAAGATTATCTGTGTTTCTCACATGTAATGAAATGTGCATAAAAGAAAGGTTGCTGCCCAAAGGCACGATGGAGTAATGGATATCGGCTTGGACTGAGGAATCGTAGAGACGAGTTCGAATTCCAGTCGAATCCATTATATTCACTTACGTGCTAATACCCTTGGAAAAGATATGAATCCTCTACTTCTCCCTCCAACTATGGGTAAATAGCAGGACAGACTGGGTTCTATAGCCTTGGATGGCAACTGGTCTAGGAGAAGGACAACTCTGAATTCAAAACCTGCGGAGGGTCGTTTTTGGACCTTGTGGCACGTAGTGCACCAGGTCTCTGTAATCGGCCCCTCAAAAAGTGTGGATGGTCCCGCACGAAACCTTCACCACTATAATCAAATCTCATGTGTCAGTGTCGGTTTCCTGGGAACTGATCTGCTTGACCCTCATGCGTCGAAAGAGTCGCACGATTTATTTATTTTTTTTTATATATATATATATATATATATATATATATATATATATGCACATTTCATTGAATACGACAGAGAAGGTGCTTTTATTTAGTTTTTTTTTATACAATTACTCATGCGATCTAATAATTTTTTTTTTTAACTCTGAGAAAATTTTTATATATATATATATATATATATATATATATATATATATATATATATATATATATATATATATATATATATATAAAGATACATAGTTTCATTTAAGCAAATTCGGTTAGATGATTAAAACGTATTATGTGCACTTATTTCTCATCTTTTCAAGTCCACGAATTAATTTCTTGGTGGCTGTAAAAAATTGATCAAGGAAAATACAAAAAATTTCCTTCAGATT